AGGAATAGAAGGGTGAACCACTATACCCAGCTTCTGCTGCTTTTCTGACCCCAGGGCTGCAGAGTGTTAAATGAATAGATCTAAGCAGCTGTCTACACCCTGAACCTTGGAGTTCCCCTCTGAAATGGTGCATCTTTGAAGGCTTATCCAGGACAGCCCACAGGTTGTGTCCAACACAGACCAGGAACCAAGGCAGTACTTAATAAAGAGTGTCTCCGAAGCATTGGCAAACACAAAGTGTGCCATCCTGCATAGGTGTCATGGCTCTTCTCAAACAGAAGCTGAATTTTGACTCTTGGTTGTAAGACCCCAAGTCCTAAGCCTGCACAGAGAACCAAAGCCTGATGCACACCCTGGGATACCTGTAGGCCTGAGTGTCTCTCCCTGACAAGAAGAAATAACTGAGCAAGGTGTCCTTTCATGCTGATACCTAGTCCCCAAGTCTGCTGGGCTCTTAGATACAAAGAGATTGCATTTCTCTAGCGGGAAGGCAGCCAGCAAGGCCTGTCCCAACAGACCTACATGGTGGGGAAAGCCAAGACACCTACCCCTTTGATGGGGCGAAGGGAGCTCAGCTGAGCTGGCAGTCATCTTCCTATGAAGTACCCCACCCTGAAGCAGAAACTCCCTTCTGACCCCCCCCCCCCAGCCAAGTCTCACCTCTGGCTCAACTTGGGCCCCATTAGGGGCACCTCAGACTCCTGAAGATGCAGCCTCTGGGCCTCAGCCCTATTGCATTCCTGGGTGGGATCTGGAACTCTCATTTGCTCAACAAAAACGGTCTGTAGTGGGCATTTCTTCCCAGACACCTGGTTTTCTTTTTCTTTTATTTGGGGGGAGAGGTCCGGTCGTGGGGCCTGAACTCTGGGCCTGGGCACTGTCCCTCAGATCTTCAGCTCAAGGCTAGCACTGTACCACTTGAGCCACAGCGCTACTTCCGGCTTTTTTCTTTTTGCTTATGTGATGCTGAGGAATTGAACCCAGGGCCTCAAGCATGCAAGGCAAGCGCTCTACCACTGAGCCACCTTCCCAGCCCCAGACACCTGGTTTTCTTGTGGAGACTCAGTTCCCCCACCGGCCGCTGAGACTGTCATGGCTGAGGTAGTTTCTGGCCAAGAAAGAGTTGGTTACCACCATCCCTAATTTCAATTTGGACAAGATCTACCTCACTGGGGGGGGAAGGGGGGGAGGGGACGGGGACCTAGAACCATTCAACCCTGGCCTTCCCATGGACATGCCACTGTGGCTGGCTGTCAACCTAAAGTAGAGGCAGAAGCGCTACATGCTGCCTCCAGCCTGGAATGATGTGAAAAGGAGCCAGAAGCTGAAGGATCATGAAGGAAAGGAGGAAACATTTGCCCACATGCCCAGCCCTTACTACATGGAGCTCACTAAACTCCTGTTGAATCACACTTCAGACAACCTCTCCAAAGCAGAGGCAATCCAGACCCTCCTCAAGGATCTGAGAGACCCATGCATGGCCCAGCTCTGGGTATCTGCTGACAGCTTTATGCAGCAGCAGGAGGCACACACCAAGCTGTGTAACCTGACCTTGAGATTAACACTGGAGTGGCTTTCCTCATACAAGCACTCAGTCACATGTACAGGCTCCACACAAACCTGCAGCCTTCAGAACATGACTTCTAGAAGCCTGGCACCTGCTGGCAGACTTGCTGGGTGATGTACGAGTGCTCAGGACTTGGAAAAGATATTCATGTTTCTGGAGTCCTGGAGACTTCTTTTTGTGATGCTAGGGAGCCAGTGGAAAAATTTCCAGATATGTGAAGAACATGTAACAGTACAAAGAATTGATTTTTAATACTGGTTTGTGGTTAGTCCTCAAACTCAGCTCCTGAGTTCTCATTTCCCCAGGTAATTCTAGAAGCCAGCTTTTCCTTTGGGGTTCTGAAAAGTAAGTTCTCCTGGATGTCATGCATATTGGATTCAGGAACAGATATAGCAGGAGTGGTGAGTGCTAGGGCCCTTGTCCCTTCTTGATCCTCATTTCTTGGACTAAGTGTAGATGTGCAGGTTGCTCACACAGAATGGCAGGTAAAGTAGCTGATGATGTTGGCCTGATTAATGCGTATCTAATAAAAATGCAACCAGCCCTCACTCTCCAAAAAAGCTTGGTTCATTCTAGTAGTATACCCAGGGCAGGGACTGAGAGTATAGGACTGGCTGCTGAGCTCGCTCAAACCACAGTGAATGTGGAACCAGAATAGACCACAGCCGTCAGCTGCACAGACAGTGGCCCAGGGTGAGTTTTGCTGTTGTCCTATTAGATCAGGAGAGACTTCTTGAGCTGCCAGCCTGTGGTCTAGCTGTGACACCACAGTGATGGTAAAAAAAAAACAAAAAAACAAAAAAACAGGCTTCTATTCCTGCCACACCCCCTAAAGAAGACAGGTCCTTGTCCCAAAGCTCCCGAGGGACTTTCCTGGACTGGGCAGCACCTCCCTTGTCCAACCCTGCTAGTTCCTGTGTGACCATGGCTTTCTGGAGGCAGTAGGCCCCATGCCCTCCATAAAGTTTGACTCCTTCACGCTTCCTTCTCCCTTTTACTCCATTGACTCTTCCAGGGCCATCGCAAGGGAGTTTTTCTGCCAAGGAAGCCTGGGTTTGAAGCAGGCCTGCCTGGCAACCCATACTTGTTGACTGGGACCCCTATCCATGTCCCATGTCCTGTCCTGCCTGAAGACCCAAAGGCCAGAATGAGAGATCAGGCCCTGGAAATTAGAAGGTTATGTCCAGTAGTGTACGCCTTCTTTGCTCTGTTGGTACTAGGACTGGTTACTGCCTGGCACTCTGGCCTGTACAGGGGTCCAGGGTTCTGTCTGTGACCTAACTAGTCATGTCAGAACTTCTTTCCTTAATCCCTTGCCCATTTACTTTAGGAGCTAGAGCTTGTTTCAGGTAAGACAGCAGCATGGGCAATGTACCATCACATGGTTGCTCTAGCAAGACAGTCTATATTTTTTTGTCTTTCAGTAATGGGGTTTGAACTCAAGGCCTTCCATTGGTTCAGCTGGCTTTCTCAACTGGCACTCACCACTTGAGTCATGCCTCTAGCCCAGCTTTTTGCTGGTTATTTTGGAGACAGAAGCTCCTTGAATCCCTGGGCTGGCTTCAAGCCACATCTCTGGATCTCAGCCTCCTGAGTATCTAGGATTACAGACATGAACCACTGGCACCCAGCCCTGGCAAGACATTTCAAGGAGGCGTTTCACAAAGGAATGCCTTGGGCTGGGGTTATAGTGGTAGAGAGCCTGCCTAGGATACACAGGCCCTGGGTTCAATCCCCAACACTGGAAAAAAAAATCCAAAGTCTTGCACTTTAAACCCATCCACTGGCTGGTACAAGGTGCTATGGTGGGAGCAGGTCCTGGCCCAAAGCAAACAGCTCTAGATGTGTGTTGACGAGTCAGGTGACATGGCTAGTGCAGTGGAGCTGTGTGAGCTGACCCATGATGTCCATTGCAAGGGAACCACCATTTTCTTGCCAGTGTCCAGGTCAAATCTCATCTGAGGCTCAGGTCATGATCTTCCAGAGCATTTCCAGAAGTCAGCAGCCTGAAGAGCAAAAGACTAGCAAAAGCTGGGACCGTTTAGATAGGAACAAGAATAATAAAGTCAGAAAATCTCCAAATGTCCAAAAGGTCTTTAAATGAAAAATTGTACTACAATTCTGGAGACAGAATAGTCAGCAAAAGTGAAATTGAGGAGAGGAGCTTTCATGCCAGGTAACAGATGATTTGGAATGACCAGTGGAGCTAAGGGAAGTGGTGTGCTCTGAAGAGTTCTGGGCTGTGTGGGGCCCAGTGCTGCAGATCTGGCCATCTGCTGCAGTTGTCACTGGCCTGTTGCTTCATGACTGCAATGCATCGGCACCTACTTTAAAGTCAGCATTAGAAGGGCCATTCAGGCTCTGAAAACAATCAGGCAGTCATCTCTGGCCCTAGAGATAACCAGAGTGCGCGTGCGTGCGTGCGTGCGTGCGTGCGTGCGTGTGTGTGTGTGTGTGTGTGTGACAAAAAAAAGGTGCTTAAACTCAAGGCAGGCTCTCTACCATCGAACCACAGCTCTACTTCTGGCTTTTTGCTAGTTGACTGGAGATAAGAATGTTATGGACTATTTTGTCCCAGCCGGCTTAAAACCACAATCAGATCTCAGCCTCCTGAGTCTCTGAGATTATGATTACAGGCATGAGTCACCAGCTCCGGGCTAGGCCGGAAGCTTTTAACATTGGGCCATAGGTCCTTTTGGCAGGCTGGTGTGACCTATGGTTCTTTTAGAGTAATTTTTTTAGAGTAATGTTTTTAAGTGTACAAATAAAAGACCAGAGATTTCAGAAGCCAATTAAGTTGAAACAAAGTTATCAAACATTTAAAAGTAAATTTACTAGCTGGGTGCTGGTGGCTCATGCCTGTAATCCTAGCTACTCTGGAAGCTGAGATATGAGGATCACCAATTAAAGCCAGCCTGGGCAGGAAAGTCCATGAGAATCTTATCTCCAATAAACCCTAGAAAACCAGAAGTGGCACTGTGGCTCAAGGGGTAGAGCACTCACCTTGAGCTAAAGAGCGCAGGGACAACTCCCAAGCCCAGAGTTCAAGCCCCATGACCCCCCCCCAAAAAAAAATTTGCTGCCAGAAGTGCTGGTACATACCTATCTCTGAGAAACAGGAACACCACAAGTTCAAAGCCAGCCCAGTTACATTATGGAACCCTATCTCAAAAATAAGGAGCTAGAGTTGTGGCGCAAGTGGTAGAGCATTACCTGTGAGCAGAAAAGGCCAAGGGAAAACACGAGACTCAGAGTTTAAGCCCTAGGACCAGCATACACATACACTAAAAATAGAAAACAGAACATACTGACTCCACATCATAGAGACTGGACCTTCTGAGAAGGAACGGGGCAGGGGCTCGGGCTCTAAAACCAGGCAAAAGAGAGCACCTGTTGTGTGCTGCCAGGCTGACCTTCCCTCTCTCTGATGCAGGTGGGCAGACAACTTCACAGCAGAGGGCTGCGGAGGGAGCAAGGAGCACCCCTTCAAGCACCCCTTCCTCCAGGTACTGGCCCTGCTCTCCCACCTGTCTCCCAAAGCTCACACAGGGACCCTGACATTAGGCTGCTTTCTAGCTTAGGGACAGAGATGCCTTGATCCCAGAAAAACTGTCCGCCTTTCTCCCAGAACAAAGTCAAGGGATCTGAGAGAGTGCCCCTGGAAAAAGGCCATAGACACAGGGGAGGCCTGTCCGCACAAGTCCTAGCTGGGAATCTGCCCCCACTAATCATAAGGCATGCAGAAAGTGCCAGCCCCAGCGGCAAAGGCCTATTCTCCATCCACCTTGAGACCAGACCCCCAGCAGGATGGGGCAGATCCCACCAATAAAAGATACACTTTTACTGGACTGGAGTTTGCAAAAACAGATTTCCCCATCTGCCATCACCTTCTTTGTAACCTTTCATGAGACTTTGAACCTCTCTGAGCCTCCGTTTCTTCATGTGGACCATGGTGAGAAGTTGGTCTGAATGGGGGTCTTCACACAGGGTCACACCGCCTTAGAGCTTCCACTGGAATGGTTTGGAGGTTTCTGGGCAGATCCAGGAGACTATCTGGCCTTCTGCTGCAGCTCTGCTTTTGTGTGTTTAACATGTTAGGGTTCTGGGTGAGTTATGGTCTGAAGAAAGGTTTCATTAACAAACAGTACTGCTAAGGATGATCCCAGGATCCCTTCAGCATGGAATGGGGGGGGCTTCTTGTGCCTGCAGGCTGTGGGCATGTTCCTGGGAGAGTTCTCCTGTCTCGCTGCCTTCTTCCTGCTCCGGTGCAGATCCACAGGGCAGTCAGACTCCAATGTGGACCTTCAGCAGCCCTTCAATTCCCTTATTTTCCTGCCCCCAGCCCTCTGTGACATGACGGGGACCAGCCTCATGTATGTGGGTAAGTAGCCAACCAGACTGAACAAGGGCCAATGAGGCCTATGCATGAAAGGGCCACCATTGAAACCATCCCCCCACAGACACTGCACATGGAGCCACCATGCACACATGCGCACACACACACACAGAGGTTTCCTGTGTGCTGGATTTGTCACACCACACACACACACAGGTTTCCTGTGTGCTGGATTTGTCTTCAGTCCTGGAGAGCCCTCAGTAGCAGCCAGCCTTTGCCCTCCAGACCTAACTATCCTGTCTTTCCTCTCCTAGCCCTGAACATGACCAGTGCCTCCAGCTTCCAGATGTTACGAGGTGCTGTGATCATATTTACCGGCCTGTTTTCAGTGGCTTTCTTGGGCCGGAGGCTGGCACCAAGCCAGTGGCTGGGTATCCTGGCCACTATCGCAGGGCTAGTTGTCGTGGGCCTGGCTGACCTTCTGAGCAAGGACAACAGTCAGCACAAGCTCAGTGAAGTGATCACAGGTAGGTATCCCAGGCTGCCTGTCCTGTCCTGTCCCTTCCCTAGGGATCTTGCCCAGATTTGTCCCATAGATTTAGACAACCTCTGCCCTACGTAGTACAGGATGATAAGGGCACACACGTGTTCTTAAAGGGATGGAGAAAGTAAGGGAGAGCAAAGAGGGGCATGATGGCCAAAGAAGAGGCACAGCATGAGAGGAGTAGGTAAAGATTGGAAGGCCCAAGGAAGAGATTGTTTGGTGTTGTGATTCATAAATGTACATGCAAATTGCTGGTCTGGGTAAGAGGTGGGAAGAACATTATGGAGCACTTGCCTCAGGCCTAGCCTCGAGCTCAGGTCTGTGTGTTCCCCATCACAGTAGCCTTCCCAAAGGAACCACTTTATAATGGGATGACTGCCCTTGGTCACTCAAGTCAAGATTAAGCCAGAGATGTCTTGTTTTAAGCCTGCTGCTCTTTACACGACCTGCTTGGCCAGTTGTGCAGGTCTCCAGTCCACACAGGTCGCTAGACCTTCTGGAGCCTCCGCCTGCCCCTCAGGCCAGGGAGCCAGGGAATGGAATTGTAACTGCCATGTGGTATCCCAAAAAGTTATAAGCTGGCAGTTATTCTGTTCCTGGGGCCTTCCTGTCACCAACCCCTATTCATAGTGCAGCCCTGGTTTCACCTGGACCTCCTTTCCTCAGGGGACCTGTTGATCATCATGGCCCAGATCATCGTTGCGATCCAGATGGTGCTTGAGGAGAAGTTCATCTACAAACACAACGTGCACCCACTTCGGGCAGTGGGCACTGAAGGTACATCCTGTCACAGGGACCAAGGGTAGCAAGGGGTGTGAACTGTATCGGCCACACACAGGGCAGGTACTAGCAGCCCTACCGGAAGCTAAACTGCCCAGTCCACACCTTCCTTTTCCCCCAGATAGGAGCTGACGGGTCCTGACAGCTGGTGGGTCAGGCTGGGGAAGGCAGCAGGTGGCAAGGGCCAGGCAGTACACTGGGCTTGGACCACTAACGTTCAAGTGATGTCTTCAAGTGATGTCTTGAAAGTGATGTCAGAGCCACATTTCCAACAGGCAAGAATGGAGAGGAGGGACCTCAAAACAGAACCAAAAGCCTGGGGAGCAAAATAGAAATAATATACAGTATAGGCTTGCTGTGGGGAAATAATGAGGAATGAAGTTTGATGGAGAACCTTAGGTAAGTAGACTTAAACTAGATAACAAGAGGAACCAATGAAGGTTGTTACTAGGCAAGCAACCATCAAAATTTTGCTTGAAAAATAAAGGATTAGCAATATAGATTATAGCTGTGCGCCAGAGTGGCCCAGAGACAAGCACCTGTTAGAGATTGTATCTGACCCAGTAAACAGAGACTGGCAGCTGAACGCAAATAAAACAAGTCCACTCCCTTTTATTTACTTTTTTTTTTTTGCTGGTCCTGGGCCTTTAACTTGACCTGGGCACTGTCCCTATGCTTCTTTTGCTTAAGGCTAGCACTCTCTTCAGCACTTCTTCCAGCTTTTTCTGTGATTAGTTGGAGATTAATTAATTAATTAATTGGAGATCACAGATTTTCCTGCCCGGGCTGGCTTTGAACTGTGGTCTTCAGATCTCAGCCTTCTGAGTTGCTAGGATCATAAGCGTGAGCACCAGGTTTTGGTGCTATTACTGGGATTTGAACTTTAGGCCACATGCTCTCCCTTGGCTTTTTTTGCAACTTAATCAGAGATAAGAGTCTCTGAGAATTGTCCTCCCTGGCTGGCTTCCATCAAGCCTCATTTCTCAGATCTTAGCTTCCTGCATAACTAAGGTAATAGATATGATCCACCAACCCCTGGTTGCCATTCATTTTCTTCTTCTAGCAGAACTGTGTGAAACAGTGTATTGACTTACATCCCAGCACAGACTTCTTATCTCAGACCAGCCATGTGCTGGACTAGAGAGCTGTTTTCCTACTTGGTGAAAACAATGCAGTGAGCTGGAACCAGCAGGGCTGTGGGGTTTTAGGGGTTTCTTTTTGCTTTTTCCTGAAAAGCACAGAATTTAAATGTGAGCAAGTATGGTACATTGTAAGGGTAACTGTTGTCTTGGGAGTGTATGCACGCTATACTAGGTCACAACCTAAAATGTATTGCCTACTTGTGGTCCAGTCAAAAGCTTCTAAGTCAGAAAGTGATGGCTCACGCCTTTAATCCTAGATACTCAGGAGGCTAAGACCTGAGGATCATGGTTCAAAGCCAGCCCAGGCAGACAAATGTGAGAGACTCTTAATCTCCAATTAAAAAAGAAAGTAATGAGCCACTTATGAAACTGGAGTTATGGCCCAAGTGGTAGAGGGCTAGCCTTCCGTGAAAAACTAATAAGTGAAGAGCACAAGGTCTTGTGTTCAAGCCCCACCACCACCAACAACAACAATAACAACAAAAAGCTTCTGGTTGAGGTAGAGAGAACAGTCAGAGTCCATTGCTCAGGCCCAAGGGTCCTGGAGAGGTAGAGGATGGATCTCAAGTAGATTGTGGATACCAGTCAGAGTAGCCTGAGGTTAAAGATGCTGGGCCTGCGGCTGTGCTGTGAGGAGGGGGGCGGGGAAGACGTTGACCAGCTTCTTCACTCCCCCAGGCTTCTTTGGCTTCGTGATCCTCTCCTTGTGCCTGGTCCCCATGTACTACATCCCCGCTGGCTCCTTCAGTGGAAACCCTCAAGGGACGCTGGAGGATGCTCTGGATGCCTTCTGCCAGGTGGGCCGGCAACCTCTAATCGCTGTGGCATTGCTGGGCAACATCAGCAGCATTGCCTTCTTCAACTTTGCCGGCATCAGCGTCACCAAGGAAATGAGCGCCACTACCCGCATGGTGCTGGACAGCTTGCGCACCGTGGTCATCTGGGCCGTGAGCCTGGCACTGGGCTGGGAGACCTTCCACCCACTGCAGATCCTCGGCTTCCTCATCCTCCTCACCGGCACTGCCCTCTACAATGGGCTGCACCGCCCACTGCTATCCTGCCTGTCCAGGGGCTGGCGCCCCACCCAAGAGGGTGAACATGAGAGACTGCTGGGTGACAGCCGGACTCCCATCAATGAAGCCAGCTGAGCCTCCCTTTGGGCCTCTGCTGTTCCTTCATCTGAAGACTGAGGCCATGAGGACTGGTGGGCTTTAGTGCCCCATCCCCGAGGCCTCACCCTGCTCCCGCTTTCTGCCCTCCTCCCAGGGCAGCTGCTGTCAGAGAAGATAACATCCAGGCCCTTTTTTGTCCCCAGAGACCACAGGTGTGGGACCCAGCCCCCACCAGCCTGTGCATAGTGACTCCCCTCAGCTCTACAATCCTAATATGTCTGAATCATAAACTAGACTGCCATGATAGATTATCTAGTTTATGAACTATAAGCTTCCAGAAGAAAAGTCATTGAATCAGTGTGCAGATTTAAACCAGAACTAACCACTGGTTGGTTTGTTTTTTCATTTTCAGTACCAGGACTTGAACTCAGGGGTCTTGTACTATTTCTGAGCTTCCTTACTCCTGGCTTGCACTACCACTTGAGCCAAGCTTCCAGTATGGCATCTTTTTGCAGGGTAATTGGAGATAGTCTCTTGAACTTTTCTGCCTGGGTTGGCTTCAAAGCTGTGTTCTTCCAGGTCTTAGCCTCCTGAGTAGCTAGAATTTCAGGTATGAGGCACAGCACACGGCAATCATTGTATTTTCTAAAACCTGGAAGATATTCCGTAAACCTGGCAGAAGACCTGGCTGTCCTCCCGGACTCCCCAGCAAACTCCATGTGTCTTCCATCTGTCTGCTCTGGAACATATGAGACCATACTATGGTCTGGACACCTTCCAATCCAGCATTCTGTGTGCCTCTGGTTGTGACCCGTGTGAGAAAAGAAGAGCAGCTCTGTAAGCCTCCCTCCTCATCCTCATTCGCAAGACCTCCCTGCCTGAGAGACTGTAAACGGAGTTCCAGGCATCCTGGAATCATCTTTCTATGAGTCTCTCTCTCCTTTCTCCTCTTTCCGTTCTCTTCTCTGTCTCCTCTTCACCTCTCTTCTCTTTCTGTCTTATGTTTTGAGACATGGTAGCCAGCTGGCTTCAAACTCATACCTCCTGCCTCCCAGCTGCTAGGATTACAAGCAAGCATTAAGATGACTGGCAGAACTTTTTGTTATGCACGTCCTGAGGCTTGAACTCGGGGCCTGGGCTCTATCCCTTATGCTTTTCCTCAAAGCTAGTGCTATCCCATGTGAGTCACAGCTCCACTTCTAGCTTTTTTTGTTGTTGTTGGTTAGTTGGAGATAAGAGTCTCATGAACTTTCCTGCCTGGACTGACTTTGAACCACAATCCTCATCTCAGTCTCCTGAGCCACTGGCACCCAGCTGAACTTCTGTTGTTTTAAAGGTGAGAAGATAGACATAGAGTTACAGGTTGGTTGAAAAGAGGGGTCTGCTACAATCAGCTCTGGCTGAGGACCTGGAAGACCCTCCCAATCTAGGCAGCTTCATGACTGCTGGATGAGACCTAAAATACCTCTGGCTCCTGACTTCATAAAGCCTCCGGGATAATGGATTTGCCACCATTCTTTCACTTACGAGTGACTCCAGCATCTTGGGCATTGGGTGAGGTGCTTTCTTTTTCCCATAATAGCTTCAGAGGTGGATGGAAAAAACAAGGCCTGGAGAAGGCAGCTCAGTGCCTTCCTCCTGGAGCTCAGGTTTGACTCATTCCAGACCTGGAGCCCCACCTACCATTTGGGCCTCTGGAATTTTCAGGATGTGTTTCTGTAGCTGGCTTTATGGCTTGTGCCCTGATATGGAGAGGTGACATCTAGAATGGCAGGGCACTGGCAGCCTTAATTCTAGTTTTGCTCACTGGATTGATTGAGCAACAGCTCAGTCTTAAGACACCTAATACCTTCCTTAAAGTAGAATGTGTGGGAAGGAGGCCTTTGAAGAGGGAGACCTCAGGTCGCGTTTGATTCCAATGGGTTATTACAGGGTGTCAAGAGAGGGACCTCTCCACTCTAGTAGAGTGCAAAAGAAAGCTAGGTATGGCAGTGCATGCTGGCAATCCCAGCAGTCAGGAGATTGAGGCAGGAGATGAGTTTGAGGCTGGAAACAAGAACCAGGCCAGGTGTGGTGGCTCACACCTGTAATCTTAGCTACTCAGGAGGCTGAGATACGAGGATCATGATTCAAAGCCAGCCCAGGCAGGGAAGTCCGTGAGACTCTTATCTATAATAAACCACCAGAAAACCAGAAGTGGCTCTGTGGCTGGCCTTGAGCTGAAGAGCTCAGGGACAGCACCCAAGCCCAGAGTTCAAGCCCTACGACCAACAAAAAACAAAAAACACACACAAAAAAATGCCAAGTTGGGGGCTGGGAAGGTGGCTCAGTGGTAGAGCGCTTGCCTTGCATGCCTGAGGCCCTAGGTTCGATTCCTCAGCACTACATAAGCAAAAAGAAAAAAGCTGGAAGTGGCGCTGTGGCTCAAGTGGTAGAGCGCTAGCCTTGAGCTGAAGAGCTGAGGGACAGCGCCCAGGCCCAGAGTTCAGGGCCCACGACCGGACCCAAAAAAAAACCCACCACCACCAACAACAAAAAAAATGCCAAGAACCAGAAGGAAGTAATGGTCATTTGTGGAGGATGGTGGAGACAATGTGACAGTTGCCTTGCATAAAAATATTGTTTGTACTTTATTTTTTAAAGAAGAAATGAAAAGTTGGCAGTATTGGACTTCCTTGCTTCGTTTCTTTTTTAATGGCACAAGAGGGCATGTGGGAGTATCATCTAAATGCGTAAAGATTTCCTACTCCCCCACTCATTCAGATGAAGACCCTAGAGTGCAGAGAGTGGAAGGAATTTCTCCACAGTCACACAGCCAGTTACAGGCATAGCTAGATTTCCTTGCCCATTCCATTCCACCACGGATGCATAGACTCTACAGCCAGAAGGTAGGTTCAAGTCCTGACTCACCTACTTCCTACGTGATTGACTACCTGGGGCCATGTTTTCCTTATTTGTAAAACAGACATATGTGTTACCTCAGGGTTGTTGAGAGGATTAGATGAGTTAATTCTATCTGAAGTACTTAGAAAAGAACATTTTAACTCTGATTAGCTCCGTACTCTATACTGGAATATAGGATATATATGTGTATATGACATAAGTACATACATGTATATGGCATGTTTCCCCCAAACTGAAGAGGATAGGGAGCCACACCTTAAGCCTCCACTCACCTCTGGTTCCTTTCATAACAGGTGTTCAGTGTGCTCTCAACCAGTTGAATGCACAGGTTTTCATAGATAGCCTTATAAATTAGCTATCAACGTGTTTCCTCCCATTAAGTGCAGAGATTCTGGTTTTGAATCTTGCTGTAGTCACTAAGTATCACTTTAACTAGGAATACAGCTCTGTGGTGCAGTGAGCTAGCATCAGCAAGGCCCTGAGTTTGGTCCCCAGCACTGCAGATAGACAAACCAAAAAAGATCAAACAGGAAAAAGAGGGGCTGAGAAGGTGGCTCAGTGGTAGAGGCTTGCCTTGCATGCCTGAGGCCCTGGGCTCCATTCCTCAGCACCACATAAGCAAAAAGAAAAAAGCCGGAAGTGGTGCTGTGGCTCATGTGGTAGAGTGCTAGCCTTGAGCTGAAGAGCTGAGGGACAACGCCCAGGCCCAGAGTTCAGGCCCCACGACTGGAACCCCCCCCCCAAAAAAAAAAAACAGGAAAAAGAGGGCAGATTGATCAACTAAAAATTCAGTTGAGTGGGCCCAAGCCAACTGGAGGGCTAGAGCAGATGGAAATTAGTTCCAAGCCTTAGACTAAGCTGGAATTGTCCCCTGTGCTGGAATGTCAAGCCACATCTTGCTCTCCCTGCTGTGTCAGATGCGTTATCATCCTCAAGGTGAAGGGGAGAATTTCTGTTGGTGGAATTCTTCATATACTCCTTGTTTTCTTGCTGTTAGCCTTAGTAGGGAGGCATCATCACCACCACCACCACCCCTCCCGGAACCCAGGCTCAGCTCCTTCAATCTGCTCCATCCAGTACAATGTTGTGCCTACCTCCTCACTGTCTATGTCCTCCAGCTGCTGGCTTACCAACACACACTCATACACCACACCCCAGCCTCACTACTTACTATGACATCATTTCCATCCCCCAATCATCCTGTCAATGGCTGTAGAAGAGTAAGGATCCCCAAGCCATCAAGACTTACCAGTGATGGCTGGCACCAGTGGCTCATGCCTGTAATCCTAGCTACTCAAGAGGCTGAGATCTAAGGATCGCAGTTCAAAGCCAGCCTGGTCAGGAAAGTCTGTGAGACTCTTATCTCCAATTAACTACCAGATAACCGGAAGTAGCTCTGTAGCTCAAATGGTAGTGCTTGCCTTGAGCTGAAGAGCTCAGAGACAGCGTTCAAGCCCAGAGTTCAAGCCCCATGACTGATTTAAAAAAAAAAAAAAAAGACTTGCCAGTGATGAATCCAAAACATACCAAAGCAGCCCCCCAAACTTCCTGTCACTCAGAGGAAACATAGTTTCCCTTCTTAAGTTTTAAGAGAGAAATGAAAAATAGCAGGCAACAATAAACAGGAAATAAAGCTTTAAAAAAATAAAAAGCTCAACACCAGTTGCTGGTGGCTAGTGCCTATAATCCTAGTTGCAGAGGAAGCTGAGATCTGAGGATCGAGGTTCAAAGCCAGCCCTGGGAGGAAAGTCCATGAGACTCTTCAATTAACCACCAAAAAACCCAGAAGTGGTGCTATAGCTCAAAGTGGTAGAGCACTAGCCTTGAGCAGAAGAGCTTAGGGATAGTGACCAGGCTGAGTTCAAGCCTCATGACTCACACACACACAATGAAAGCCTGGCACTGGTGGCTTACACCTGTAATCCTAGCAACTCAGTCGGCTGATATCTGAAGATTGCTGTTGAAAGCCAGCCAGGACAGGAAAGTCTATGCAACTTTATTTCCAATTAACCCCCAGAAAACTGGAAGTAGCACTGTGGCTCAAGTGGTAGAGTACTACCCTTGAGCTGATAGCACCCAGGCCCATAGTTCAAGCCCCATGACAGACCCCTCTCCCCACAAAAAAAATGAGCTCAGGTTAACTTATAAGGGCATTTCCAAGAACATAACAGAAAAGGAAGAATGAAGATTCATAGAAGACTTCTATAATCATTAGGGGGAAATAGATTGGATTGTGGGAGGCTGGACAGAAGACAGCAAACCAAAATGGGTATTGGTTAAAAGATAAAGGCAATGGAGATCAGAGAGAATAAGAATTCAGAGGGGGCAGTGCTTTCTTTAGCCCTGAGGGTGGCAGTCTGAGCAGTCATTGAATGGAAAGAATCTATTTTTCTTGTTCTTATCCGGCCTCTTCTGAATTCTGACACCTCGCATTATCATCCTCTTCTTCTTCTAGGTCTCCTTAAGAGTTGTGTGTACAAAGCCAAGAGGCCACAGACATAGTGCCAGTACCAGCAATAAGTCATGGGGGAGAAGCAAGACAGAACAGAAAGCCATTCACTTCCCTATAGACAGCTCTGAAGAGACATGCCTGCAAACCACTGGCAGAAAATAGGAGACTTCATTTTATGGCTTGCATGAAGCTAAAGTTACCACAAAATCTTCTCCAAAAATCCAGGGTCAGATGAGTTTCTGGAGCTCTGCTTGTCTTCAGGCCCAGAAACCAGCAGAATTAATTGTCCTGACCATTTTCATCTCTCATTTCTCTGTCATTCATTTGCCAAGCAGAACAGAAGTTGTGAACCATTGTGCAAAGGCTGGCTGGGGAGCCAGGAGAAACATATTTACTAGGAACCATCTAGATTCTCCTGAGTCAGAAAGGACATTGCATTCAGCCAAGACAGCAGAGTGGGCTGCTAGGTCACCCAAGACAGAATCTATTTCATAAACCATTATGTTTCAATTTATCTTCTAGTTTTCATTTTCATCTCTGTGGGTATGGCCTTAAACACAGGTATGCCAAAGAATCTTATAAAAATCATGGATAAGCTAGGCATCGGTAGTTCATGCCCTGTACTCAGTTACTCAGAAGGCTGA